TATCGAAATATGTACTAATTAATAAGTACATATATTCATTTTTAATTGAAATTTTAATAAATGCTCTTCATATAAATTGAGTAAACGCAACAACAATAAACAAATAATATGTATAAAATATACAAATATATTAATTTTTCACGATGTTTTTCTTTTGCGTCATAGGACTCCCACTGAATACTGTTCCTGTCTGTTACTCGTCTGTACCTATTTCTAGTGTATTCTATAATATTCTTTAAAAATAATTTTATTCTTACCATTGTTAGCATTCCTAAGCCAAGGATAATGATGCGATACGTTTCTTATCTTTTAAAAGCTCGGTCGAGTTGTGTTTACATTCTCGGACGCCGGCCTCTCGACTTCACCTTGGAGATGGACTCATGAATTCCTGATCTGCGTGACACTAACACTGTTGTTTTATGCGTCTATACTATGCATTGTCTGTGCCCTTAATCCCTGTGTTACGAAAAAATATCGCATTCGGCGTCTACTTCACACTTCGTTTATGCCTGTAGAAGACTTCTTACCAAACTGCGTCAAGTTCAATGTTATCGACACCGCATCACAGAAGGTTGGATATCTAGTGAGAATTAAAATAAATATCTTTAGAAAATTTAGTAGAAACAAAAGAAACTTTTATATGAAAAACTGATTGAAATTTAGATTGAAAGTTAATACTTACGCATTATATAGTTATAATTAATATATTTTAATTGATCTAGTTTTATATGCAACCAATAACAGATCGATATTAGATGAGCCAATGACAGCTTCTCATTGTGACGTCACAGGAGTATAAAGATTATAAATCATTAATTAATTGTTTGTTTGATATCTTTTTATATTAATTTTATTTTCTTCGTGTCTTAATTTTATTTATTTTCAGTTCTTCGAGATATAAGGTTTAACCTTTATTTCGAAGATACACATCAAGAGTCGAGACGGACTACGTGACTCCCTCACCCCACTCCCCACTCCTCGCGCGAGATCGTGTCCGATCCTGTTCGTCATTCTTCGTCTGGAAAGTGGTGTGATAAGTGCGTTGACAGCTTCGCGTCTAATTAGGTAAGTATTTTTTATTTTTAACCATTTCTATTCTCCTCGTCATTCTCCATCGATGCAATTATACAATATTAATAAGTGCATATTAACAAATTTGTGTTTTATTTCTGTAAGAGCCCGTAATTACAATTCAAACACGGGACGCTCAACTACGGTCAAACGTATTTTTCATTTTTAACCGGTTCTCTTCTTTTCGTCATTATCCATCGATGCATTTATCCAATATTAATAAGTGTCTGTTAACAAATTTGTGTTTTATTTCTGTGACAGCTCGTAATTACAATTCAACCACATGAGACTCTCAACTGCGGCCAAACTACGGTCACGCTAGAGACGCGACGCCATAATGCTTTGAGAGTTTGTGAACACGTTTCGACAGGAAACCTGTATCTATACGAAAAAGAGTATTTGGCGATGCTCACGTGCGAAAAATGTAAGTATCCTTGTATTTTGTTCCGAGTACGCTTAAAAAAAATTGTTTGATTTAAATTTGCCATCAAGTTTTCAAATACGGTAGAAACCTTTCGTAAAAACATTTACTCTTTCCTTCTAAAGGATCCTGACATCTCAACATCGTACTTGTGGATCCAGAGAAACTCGACGATGATCTCGCTGCTGACATTGATGCTGACTTCGTTTCTAACGTCGCTGATGACTCCTACTAGGCGACATCGTCGCCCGGGTGCTTGAATTCTACAGTTGGTGAGTCGCATGCTATTTTGTTTCCTCTGGTCCCCAACCATGTTGTAGGATGAAATATCCGAATCAACACGGGTGACCAGTTGTATACTTAGTATTTTTGACGAGTTAAGTGACCGCGGGTATGAAAAATACCCATGAGTTATATTTTTTTAGTGCAGGCTAGGGTCTTCTTGCACTCGCGTTTTTTAATGTTATCAATAAATATTACACAATATGATTATTATACAAGTTTGATCAAATATATGAAATATGTTTATTATCTTTATATGAATTAAATAATTGAGTACAATATGAATTAATATAATGTGAAAACATTATATTAATCGTATGATTGAGTAAAATATCTTACATCATTAATATAATTATTGAATATTCGTTTTATTAATTAATACATCATATGATGTATTTTATGTGCAAGAAGGCGTTTCGCGACTGGTCGTTTCTCAACTTAAAGGAACATGCATGTTAATTTTATTTTTTTTTAAATTTACTTTGACGACAGAATCGACCAAGGTTAATTGAATATTTTGAATAATAATTTAACAAATTTATTTCAATTTGCAAAGTAAATTATTTTATCATGAAATCTTTATTAAAGTCTTACATTTTGAACAATTAAATTTCAATTACAAATTTTTCTTGAATAATAATACCTTTCAATATTAACGTACTCTGTTGTTGATATATTACATATAACAAGTCGAGTCATTTTAATTGAGAATAGATACCGTTTAGTTAATTACTAATAACCAGTTGTTCTAGTCAGGCTTTTCAGGATACTTTTCCGTGTTCGTTGCCTAAGTTCATGCACATGCCCAAGTGTTATTTGCACGAGCAAAGGCAACGGAGCACGATGACTTAGTCTGTAACATTTATAATAATAATTTATCCGTGCGACTGACAATGCTAGTGTATCGTGCACGATGTACTGTCCACATATGTGTGTTTGTGGTTATGATGTGGAAGTGCATCGTTTCAAAAGTTTATTACAATTCAGATACAGAATTTTTTGATATTAGATTCGTACCAGTAACAATAATAATATTAAACTTATAGTTATTATTTACTTGGCAATTGTTCGTATTGCATACACGTCGATAATATTGTAAAATGCATAATGAATTAGCTTGGCAATCTTACATAATCATATATGTCTAGAGTATATTTTAATAAAGACTATATCAGATATATTAAAATGTTTTACATAAATAATAAAAGTACGCATCGGGCACTAGCTTTGTCAGTCCACTGCAAACACTGGTACGTACACAATTAGAGAATGAATGAGGTTGTGTCCGGGTGTCGGAGGGACCCCGGGGAGTCCTCTCTAGTTTAGGTCGCGCCCGGACATTCAGAATGAGAACCGTGGAGTGTTTGTTTGAGAGACTGAGTTTTGCATTTTTTTAAATATAGGGTTAGGTAGGTAGGTAACTTATTCTCTGGTGTGTGTGTTTAAACCTAAGTAGGTAGAGTCAGGGCAGGACTGTCCACATTAGTAATTCGGGCAGGCGCGTTTTCGCGTGGCAGTTCTGTTCCTGTAGTTACGATTTCGAGAGTAGAAATCTTGCTGATTCAAACGGTGCACTTGTGCTGTTTGTTTCGGCTTTATTTTCGACTCAACGAATCGCGCGACTCTTAAAGTCGCTCTCTCGCGCTCGCGGTCGGGATTAGGTCCCTTTCGAAACGTTCGTCCCGCTCGAGATTCACCATGTATGCTCTTGCAACAATTCGTATATTGTTGGAAGACTACGTATTGCACAAAATCTCGAGCCCGGTCTTTCGTAAGTTTCAGGCATCGGCAGGACCGCCGAAGAAAGAAAAGGCTCTCAATGAGCCGAAGAGGCCCTGACAAACTGTCTCAAGAGTGGGCTGCAACAAATGGCTTTTCATCTTCATCCTCGGATGAAAATGGAAAGTCATTCCTCTTACTACTTTGTCACTTAACTCGTCCGTAGTTGTAGATAGTTTATTTTTTCGACTGGCTCACGTATGCATGTACCTGATGGTACATGATTGCAACATACATGCCAGCCATCCCTCCCCATAACTCGCGGTTATGATGTACATAGAGTAGCGAATATGCAATAATCGCGTTTGCTTGTAGAGTTGCGAATCACTGTTTTTCGCGATTCCTTTTCAGGATAGTGTTGCGCCTTGACACGATACGCGATTGGTTTTTTGCAAACTTAGGTACCGAATGTTTGCTTAAAAATAGCGTTACGAATTATTGATAACCGTGATTGCTCGTAGAGTTGCGAAATACTATTTTTCGCGTTTGCTTTTCAGGGTAGTGTTGCGAACAATCACGATTCGGGTTGCATTTTTACTCTGTTATATATATAAGAATGGATGTCAACCGCGTTTGTAATTTTCATGTTATAAATTAGCGTTGCGATCTTGATCAATCGTGCGATTTTTTATTTAGCGTTCCGATATTTTCAATGCCCAAATTCTACCCCAATTGTAGTACTAGTAGTAGTTAGTTTATTTTGTGGCCAGTACATGCCTATGTACATGTACCAATAGCCCCTGATTAAAGTTAAAGTTGCGAATAATATACAATGCTCGCGTTTGCTCGTAGAGTTGCGAACAAATATTTATCGCGTTGATATATTAGTGCTGCGAATAAATACGATTCGTGATTGTCTTTATGCAAACCTAGGAACCGGGCGTTTACTTTAAAAATAGCGTTGCGAATGTTTAGTAAACGCGATTGCGAATTAGAGTTGCGAATTACTATTTTTCGCGTTTGCTTTTCAGGGTAGTGTTGCGAATAATTACCATTCGCGGGTTGCTTTTATTCTTACAAGTCGCGTTTGGAATTTTTTCTATTATAAATTAGCGTTGCGATTGTTGATTTATCGCGTTGTTGCCCCGTAGTGTTGCGATATTTAAAACGTCTAACTTCATCCCCATAATTCAGCGGGACAACCACCGGCACAATTTTTCAGAAAAATTAAAAAAAAAATTTTAAACGAATTAAGAAAAAAATAAAAAACAATAAAAATTTAATATCATAGGAAAAGAATGATGACGGGTTTGGTCTGTGGTAGGAAAGGAAGAGTAAATGAATTCAATAAAAGAAAATATAATTATTTTCTTAGCAGTGATAACATATCAAATCAGATAATTTGTAATGGTAAAAAAGCGAATGTTACAATTAGAAAATGGAAATTTTCTTCAGAATATATACACAAAATACTCTTAATTTATTGAGTAATAATTCTATCAATATATTAGCTTAAACTAATGTTTCTCTAATGCGAGAGTTAATAATTCATTCATCGGGGCTAATAATATCTGGGGATCTTCTATTAGACCCGCTCCAACCATAGAGCTAGTGAACAGCTGAAACAAATTAAATACGAAATTAGTCAAACTAATGAGTAAATAGATCACAGTCGTTTCATAATTAAAAGAAAATGTACCTGGCGTATAAGAAGGTCTGCTAATTTCGGATCTGACTTTATCAGTTGACAGAGTTTCTTAATGATAGGATGATTGGGATTTATTTCAAAGCGAGGTTGAAGGATAGAATACCGCATTTCTTCGTTTAATTGATGACTCTGAGAGCGGACAAAATGCCTTGCAGCTGCCATATCTTTTACCGTAACTACACATGGATGCGATTCGAGACGATTCGTTATCTTAATATCAAAAGCTTTCTTTGTCAAAAGATTCCTCATATGGCCCATAAGATTGTTGATTTCTTCTTGATTGATTCCTACATATAAAAAAGAAACATGTTAAACATGTGCATTGTGGCGCTGCGTCGCTGCAGTTAGGAACTCGATGTTTCGCCCGGGCCTGCTAGTGGACTCATCAGTAAGGCTTTCTAGCAGGCCCTGCCTTAGACACAGCATATTAAAAGAAAGTTACAAAGTACTCACCAAGATTATCAGATTTACTTGACTCTGAATCTTCCCGCATTTGTTTTTCTACAGATGTTAAGGTATAAGATTTATACTCTCTCAAGTGCGTTAAAACCAATTCATCATAAGACTCATAACAGAATAACACTTCGACATTTCGTTTCTTGAGAGATTCATAATATGGCGACTGCTCGGCTAGAGTTCGGCTAAAAGGAATAAAATAAATGTAGAAGCTGTTTCAACAATTATTTGTATGAATTATCCGATATAATATAATATGGAATGTCATAATTTTTACCTTGGAGCTGACAGATAATATATATGTTTCTGATCTTCGGGCAAACGTTTACAATAGTCCGGTATACTAACTAATTCTTTCGGTGGCATAGAAGATGACTCAAATCGCAAAAGTTTCGATATTTCTTCCTAGAAAAAATGTAATTACGAAAGTTTATAAAATATGCGAGAATCTTAAACTTGTTAGGGAGACATTACCTTCTCATTGTGGTTGTTACTGGTGACGATACCTTCTTTTAAGAAAAGACCATAATCTTTATAAAATTTAATATAGTCCTCGGGTTGCTTCTGAGATCGTTCGTTTAAAAATTTCAAAATACGCGACGTTAAAACATCCCGCAATTTTCTACAATAGAACAAATTCGAAAAAATGAAAATGATTGCTCCGCGTGAAAGAATTGAATTAGTTTTATTGTTCTTACCCAATTAAGGTACTATTTTGTAACAACTCGCGACTTAAATTAAGAGGAATATCTTCAGAGTCAACTACGCCCTTCATGAAACGTAACCATTTCGGTAAAATATTTTCTGCCTTGCTTTTAATTAAGATTTTACGACTATACAGAGAAATGCCGCTTGATGTATCTCGAGCCAAGTCAAATAATCCTGGTGCTTCCTCCGGGAAATATAATAATGCTCTAATACTAAGCGGGACATCAGTCGTATAATGTAGAATGAATCGAGGCGAATCGAAACAGTTTCCAATAAATCTGTAGAATTCAGCATGTTGGAGCGGTGTAATGTCTTTTGAATCCAACATCCACAGTGGCTGACAATAGAAAATACATTGACAAACATGTATATAATATAATTTAAAAAATACAAATAAAGTCAGATCCTTCCAAATTTACCTGAATAGTATTAGCCCTTTTACCATCAACAAAAATAGGACTACCAACAAAGTTGCTGTACTTATTAATAATACCTAATATATATTAATAAACATTAATAGTATGTTATATATAGGGAAACAATTTTATTTTGTAGACATTTTAATTACTCACGATTTATTGTAGTTTCATCGCTAAATTCTCGGCAATCAGGTTTCAAGTGTATAACAATTTTCGTTCCTGGTTGAACACCTTCAGCTGTCGAGATTTCGAAACTACCGGAACTATATGCAAGAATATTTTAACACATTATGCATTTGTTTATCGCACAAAGTTAACAATATTCGTGAATCACGATGTATTGTTTTTACCCATCAGACATCCAGCAAAGACCTTCGGCATCTTTTGCATATGATTTAGTAAATACTTCTACTTTATCAGCAACCATAAAAGCACTATAAAAACCAACACCAAACTGCCCAATAATCTGTGATGTATCACCAGCATCTTGTTTTTCTTTCAACTTCTCTAGGAAAGCCTGCAATTAGAATATTACATTTGCAATGTAACTGTACCTGCTTCACAGTTACATCTTAATTTTTTTAATTGCCATTATTTAAATTTAAACGAATCAAATTTAAAAAAATACTTTAAATTATACTTTTGTTGTTCTTACTTTAGAACCAGATCGTGCTATAGTTCCTAAATTTGATATTAGTTCTTCACGAGTCATTCCAATTCCTGTGTCCTGAATCGTGAGGATTCTATTCTGTTTGTCAGTAGCAATATGAATTTCTAAACTTCTATCTCCAGCAGTTTCTGCAGCCTGGGTGTCACTTAATCTAACATAGCGTAATTTTTCAAGAGCATCGCTAGCATTGGAAACCAATTCACGAATAAATACCTTGTGACAAGAAACAAGGAAGTTACTAAGAAATAAAATATTAATTCCAGCAATAGATAAGACAGCATAATCAAAGACTAAATTACCTCTTTATCCGAATACAAAGATTTTGCAACAATTTGTAATAACATTTGAGTTTCAGACTGAAATTCATGTTTACTACTTTGACCTAACAAGAAAGAAATAGGAACACATTAGAGCATGTTTGCAAAATGTATAAGAGAAGACAAAAATGTTTGCAAGTACCTGTGGGCTTTTCTGTATCTTTTATGATACTGTGATACTCTGTAGTCTGAGTCGCGGTTTGAGAAGAAAAGCATCTTGCTGAACTGGTTACACCTATACATTTAAAAAGTTACTATTTGGAATTTTAGAATAGTTTGTAAAAATGTAAAAATTGGATACTTAAATAATATGTGATTTAAGAGATGATAGTTGTGACAGTGTCATACAAAAATTCAGTTTAAACACATGAGAAATTTGCTATATAACCTCATGAGCTGACTATAGAAAAACAATAAATACATGATAGTGTAAAAATATGCAAACCTGAAAGTCGTCGACATTGTCTTTCTAAAAAGTCCTTCTCGAAATTTCGACTCAACGGTCTTGAAAGAGTTTTTCCTAATTTAACTGCAAGTCTCAATCTGAATGCGGTAGCCATGCTTTCGAGTTTACCAGAAAATTTCCGGCTTAGTAATTGTTACTTGTTGCCAGATGGCAGACCAGTTGTTATGGCGCAAGATAATCGATTTTAATTATTTCAATAACTTTTGAAGCACAATCTTTTTAATATCAAACACAAATTTTATGATTATCAATGTAACATAACATTACAAGTTTGAAGTGTTTCATCTTACTTATTTGGGTCTTTTCAAGGAGGGTAGCAAGGGTCCTTTATTATAGTATTCAAGAATACAATATATACTCCTCTAAACATATTTACAAAACAAATCAGAAATACTTCTTTCATAACGAATTCAACGCCATACAGCAAGTATGCATACAAAATGCAGGTAAACGAATAATTTTAAACGAATCATTGTATTACATCCCTATATTTACGTGACTGATCAAGGCAAGAATGCGCAATCGATTAGTATCACCATATCATATCAGTTTCTGACTTCGTACGAGCCAAAGGATTCAAACACAAATTCTTCAGAACTTGTACGGCGTCCTCTCCATCGTCCCTCGCGTACAACGTTTGTCTTTTGTTGTTCTCAGCTTCAGACGATCTTTTACAAGTGCTACCAGCCATAGAATTTTCTTTACTTTTCTTTGCATGTGATTTATACGTGCGCTTTATAGAACTTTTCGAAGAAAACGTCCCCGTTTTCTTTGCTTTGAGCGATGGACGACGCTTTCTTCTTTTTCTAACTTCGCTACCGCCTACGTCGTAAGATACCAGCGACCTTATCGACGGATAATCGGCCTTCTTATCGGAGTGTTTTGAATCTGGCGACCGATTGCATTTCGAAATACTGTGATTCGGTTGCGGTGCTCTTCTCTTGGGATGCGTTCGATGGCGAACGCTAATGGACGCGCGATGACCTTTGAAAATCGGCCTCAGAGTACCTACGACTCTGCTTCTAATTCGCAGAGGTTCCAGCAATTCGTGATCATGCCAGGAAGCCACGACGGGCAAACCACACGCGTTATGCATTCCCACCAGTGGTACACCTATAGTCCGATGCTTTGGCGTCTCCGAAAATACTTGGTACCTGTCGTGGAAATCCCAGTTGCGCCCACTGCATCTTGCGTTCTCTTCATACGCGGATATCTTTTGACCAACGTGTCCACGTTCCAAATCGATCATTTCCCATTTACTGTCGACGCATGCCTCGTCGTTTTTCGAATATCCCGCGCCTCCATTTTTCACTGTTTCGTTGTTGGCTTGGTCCCTAGATTTCACGTCGTTCGATTTTCGGTGACTAGAATTCACCTTTCGCGAGCTAGACTTATGAAAATAATCGTCAAAGTCGCTAAAACCTCGATCATTGCCTCGCGTGGAAACGTTGTGCTCGCTTTTAATTATTCTTCTGTCCAGCGTCTTTAATTTAGAGGCGGTCTTGCTGTTTCTGCTTTGAACTTCGCGCTGATAGTCGCAGGAGTGACAGGATCGCCTAGTTGGGTTAATAACTTCTGAATACTTCGAGACGTGGATCGTTCGCGGAACTTGGGACGCGTGTTTGGTTTCATTTTGGAGGAGACTCGTACTGTTCGTGGAATTGATTTTATGCTTTGAAGAGCAGAGACCCTTCTCAGGCTCGGACATCGAAGATTCAAATTGCAATTGAGGCGCCATGGATCGTCTAAGCGTGCCAAAGTTGTGTGCTATCGATGCCTGATAATGTTTGATCGGAATGCTCCTAACGGTGCCGCTGTTTTGCTTCGATTTTCCAACGGTTTTCTTATCTTGGCGAACCTTGACGGAATCGTTGTTCTTCTTGAGATAGGTCTGGTGAGAAGGATAGTTTGGCACATCGATCGCGCGTTCCTCGTACAATTGATCGCTTCGCAGTACGTCGTCGCTGTTTTTCGACGGATTTTTCCAATCCTCGATTATACTTCGCCCGAATCGCGATACATCGTTAAGCCTAGGTAGATTAGACGCAGTTTTCGCGTCTGCATTCTTGACGTCGATTGGTGATTTACCCTCGCTGCCCTCTAGCCACCTTCATGATTTAGCACCGAACGTCGTTCCAGCCACGTGCATTCGATTCTCGATCCCCATGCCTATGAATAATGCAACATCGTTTAGGAAAGAAATCGATGGACGTGGTAAATGATTTGTGCACAAAAAATATAACTTCTCACCGAAATCGTGATCGTTCTCGTTGAAGGGGCTCAAGGTTTGCGTGGACGTAAACGTCGAGGCCTGAGATTTAGCCCTTTTATTACCTTTGGAGCAGGCGAAGAACGTGCTTAGAAGCGCGCCCACTTCCACGAATATCACAGCCAATCCAACTGTGAGCAGTATAAGTGCTTGATCTTGTGTCCACTTTTCGAGCATCTCCAGACAACCCTATGCAAGTAATACCTGCTGTAATATACACGCGAACGTACGTGTACCTCTTTGATATCCCAACACCTCATTTTCTTGGTCCACATACATTCAAGTTTATTCCACTCAACCTACTTTTCGAAACATATCCATTTATAGATTAAACTGAATCGTCCCGCACAATGCGCAACAGCGTCACAGTGTACGCTTCCATATGATAATGTCATCATATTCGCGGACAACGTCGACACGCGATGACATTTCAATCTGCATTCAATTTCTGCGCGGACGCGTGAAATTTAATGCCCGACGAGTACAAAAGATAAAGAAACTTTCTCCCAATAACGGGACATTAATTACAGGCGCGCGCGCGATTTTTCAATCAATTACACACTTGAACGTTGGAATCTCGTAGGAAATTGGTCGATGCTCGTGGACTCAACCCTCTATTTCCACATCTTTGTACGAATAAATAAATATATACAGGGACCTCTACGCGACGCCCTCGTTTCCAGATACGATACCGATTGGACGATACCATCGACGCGCTTTTACGCAACCCGCATCCGTTAGAATATCCCTTAGGCCTGTGATATTTTCATGCGGGTCTACGCACCTGTAGTTGTAGCAGTGGTAGTAGTTTGGGTTTCACGAATACGCACAGTTACTTTCACAGTTATCAACGATTACAGTTATTCGATGTTGATCGATGGTTTAGCACGTAACAAATCTTGATCGCTCGTTACAATGTTTATATCCAGTTGTTTTCGTTGATTTAATTGCTTCCTGATTAGCATACGTACCGTGGTGTGTCGGGCGTATTGATGTTCGGCTGGGTTCAAAGCCTGGCAGAGAGTAAGATTGGCAGGTTCGGGGTTGAGGAAGGAGTCCGTCTCATTGGCGTTGTTCAGGGCGCAGCAACTGAGAGGTACCACTAATTCTCTTCGTCCGATTTCCTGCAGCCGCCACCAGGAGGTGCCGTAATTGCTGCTTCCGTTTATGCCGCAGCAAACAAACTGAAAAGGTCGATGCAATTTGAGGTATTCGTTGCCAGAGGGGTGTGCGCGTAATTGCTTTCTACGATACGTCCATGGGGATTGCACGTTTCGGGAAAGCACGCCGGACACACCTTCCTCGATTGCTAATCGTAAATGACGTCACTCTTTCATTCGTTGCGAAACGAATTATCTCGAATTAACGCGAACGTACCGAGGTTTGGGCAAGATCAAGGGCCGCCGTGAATTGTTCTCGGCCGGGAACGGCGTAGCTGCGTTGCAAAGCACGTATCAATCGCGTTGGTCTGACGTCGATACCCAAAACGTGTGGCCAAAACACGACCAAAACACAAACGGTACATTCACCGATCACCAGCAGAATTATCGTGATGAAGTACTGAAAATACAAGACCAAAGCACCCAATGATAGATGGGAAAACATTATAGAAAGCAATCGTTAATACATATACGATCGAAAATAAACATAAGTATTAATTTCTTGCACTGAAAATCAGCGCCACGTTACTTATGGAACGACCTAATAGAAACATAAGAGAAAACACTTTTCGAAAGAACAGTAAACAAGCGCTTGCAGTGTTTAACTACATAGCGCGCACTTTCTGAAACGTTAGACCGATATTTCGTTCGTTGCTAGTCGAACGGTTAACAGCTTTTACTGTAATTTGTAAACAGACTGTTACTAATAAATACTCGCATTTACAGATTCACAGCTAATTGGCCATCTACAATTTTGCACCGTGCATCTGAATTTTATATCGCGTTTGCAAACGTTTGCACGTGCTGACTAAGATGCGTTCACGAGCGGTGCACGCGTTCGCCTAATAAGCGGCTCCTGAATAATTGTTGTTTTTAAATGATACACGGACTCGCCCTCCTTCCGTGGGCACGCGTGCCCGGACTTATGTAGATCCGTTTCCGGGCAGCGACGCGTAACCGTATTCCTACAAAGCGGGAAATCTGGTTTCAGTCGGGTCTGCTGAGCAAACTCATCGTCAGGGTCTGACGAAGAACAGCGCAGATCGCGCAGACCTTGACTTCTACCGATTAAAACTCGCGTTTACGACGCGAATTATGTGCAATGCACTGTGGTATACACGAAACGTCGATGCCTACACAATCCATTTGTCGTCCATTTTTGTAGAAATTTTAAGAATATCAATGATGTACATTATATCGTAACGAAAACACGAACATATAAAATACACTAACGTAGCGTTTACCAAAGTATGCTTCACAGAAAACTGGTTTTTCGTGCGATGTGAACAAGCATACCGCGAAAAATTGTGATTAATATTATAGCATATGTAATTTCAACAAGCACAGTTTATTTTATATCAACGCTTCAGGCCTTAATTTAAGTTACGATCCTGTTTTAAAAGCTAAAATATTCATTTTAAAATCCAAATAGCCACAAAAGAGCGTGAGTGTTCCATAAGTATATCTTAAAATGAAATGTGTTCTGTGATTATAAAAGTTTGGGAAACGCTGCGCTGATGTATGATAATAGCTGTGTAATTATAGTCGTTAGTAAAAAGAAAGTGTCTTACGGAGACAGTAGCGCATCGGTTATAGAGACAGGTTGCCCAGCATCCCAGTAGACCCGCGAGAGTGATTAAAAATCCCAAACCGACGACGGCAAAGGCCAAATAGTAGAAAAGTGGTTGCTCGGGGTGTATGTCACCCGGTCCCAACAAACGTGACAGCAGAATGCGTTTGTCGTCGGCCAATAACAATGCGCCCAACGACATCAACGCGAAACCCGATATCTGAAAACGGAGATAATAATCTGTGACGAATTGTACCATATTTAAAAAAGGGAATTGTAAGTTTATTTTGGAATTGACGTACAAGATTGATACGTGTCGTGGGCCCATATTGAGTATTCGTAAGATTAAAAAAGAGACTCTTAACTCACCAAAAAAATGATATTCGAGCAGCATACGAAGATTCGTGGTAGTCCAAAGTTTTTGGTTTCCATTTTAGAGTACGCGGTCTTTTAATTACATCGAGTTCTTATGTTTTCTTACTTTCTGTTGGCGCGCGCGCGATTACAAGGCACCGGTGACAATTCGTCACGTCAATCCTTCGCGATGACACTCCATTAATCGTCGCAATAAACGAAACTGTTGACGCTCGAAATGCAATTCATTCGAATTTGTTTTCCAGTTTTTGTACACTTACTGTTTTCTCCAATTCTCGAACCGTACTTACTCGCGTTAACTGGAGGACTAAAAACCACGCGCGTGATAGATGGTTACACAGCGCTATATGAATACTGGCATCTGTAGGTGCGCTTGCGTTGCGTGCCCTCATGCGCGACCGACCGGATGGAACCGGAAGGAAATAGAAAGGCATCGAACAAAAAAACATGGGGAAGGGGTGAAATGTCCATATGCACGTACTTATGCGATTGTTACAGATACGACTTGTGTTTTCCAAACTTCATGATGGGGAAGCTGAAAATATAAAATCGAACGTTATGGTAGACCGAAACAAAGAGTGTTACCGGGGTATTAAATCATGGTGTAGTTCGATCTTTTTTATTTCTTTGACTCGCATCACTATAATTCTCAGTCCCTCGTATCATACTACAGAACACGTAAACGTACTACGCGTATTATTGTGAATGTTCACCGAGCCTATCTCCTCCTGTCTACATTAATTCACCCACCGCAGTATGTATTTCTAGTTAAAATAGTGCAAACAGTACTAAAACATATCCGAGGTATACTTCCTACTATTTATTGAAATAAAAAATAAAAGGGAGTTAGAGTTAAAAGCTACGATTTTATTCTGTATGAATTTCTGTATTAAATATTTCTGTACATTAATTTTTAAAAGTCCAATAGGTTTTTACGCGATTGACTAGCGCATCCAACCAGCGATGCTGTTTCATCTTGTTCTCGTTGAGCGGAATCTCCAAGTTCAGCTGGCAAATGTAAAATCTGAAGCAAAGAGTACGAAGTGACGTATAATTGGTCAAACTAAAAATAGAAGCGCTTATTAAATTTTGTTCACCTCGATAACGAATCTTTTGCGACGAATTTTGAACACAAGATCCCGCGAATCTGGATTATGCGGAGCTATTGTGTTCAAGGCAGGTAACTTTCTCAGGTGCAATAAGCCATGGTAGTCTTTAAATAGTGGATTTACTTCTCTTTGAGTGCCCATAAACGATTCTAATCTAATAGCAATGTCCGATAAGTGCTCGATTCGTTGTACAACAGCATCCTAAAAATTAATTACGATACATAATTTCGTATTTGTATAAATTTCTATGTAAAACTTACCGAATTATCTAAACAGTCTACAGGTACGGTTATTACCGCAACCGCGTAAGAATATCTTAAAAGTGCTCTAAAGACATATAAAAATTTCAATAAATCTTGATGTGAAGTATCCTTTGAATCACTGAACCATAATCTAGATCCTAAAGAATGTATTACAATTCTTAAAACTTGTCTTTTTGTAAGCATTTCCGAAACCGAGTATTGTCCTTTTGTCAAGGTATCTTGAACACGCTCTAATAGTTTTGAATAAGCCGAATTCTCAAATACAGAATCTTTTTCTGGACAACTATCATCATACCACTGTGTGATATCCGCTTTCTCGATTACTTCTTTTTGCATTGTCTTTGTAAGATCATAGAAATGACCAAAAACTTGTCCTCCGGTTGGAGATGAATCGATTACTTTCATGTTTTGGTACCTCCAAGCAATTTTCATTTGTTCATCTAAATGTGGAGGTTGATTGGTGGAGTTAACATCTGTTATAACAGCTGGTAACTCTGATACTAACTGTGTTGTATCTTTGGATCCTACAAGCAATGGCTGAGATGTGACCACACCTTCTGCCATAAAATATTTTAACATAACTCTTGCATATATACCATATCGATCTTCCTCTGAAAATTGAAATTTATTTTTCATATAATATACTTGTTCATAAAAAAATTTTTGAAGTTTAAGTAGTTTTATACATACCGATTAAAAATAGGGAACCAATAGGTAATCCACCACCTGAAAAAGATAAATAAAAATAATATAACATAAAAAAACGATTTTATTTCATTTTAGTAAAATAGAAAAAATGACACAAACCTATTATATGATCCAAAGAAGGAATTCCAGTTGAAATGAGTAGTTGTGAATTTTTTATCGAAGGTTTTGTCCCGGGTATAAAAGGAAACCTAGTATCTTTCGCACTACTAAGATCCATTTTTTATATTTATATCTAAACTAATCATACAATATGTTTGAAAACTTTGTTTACGAAAACATGTATTCGAAACTTTGAAGAGAATATTTAACGTGTCTATAATTTGGAACCAAATTTTATGTACATAGGATTTCGATAAAGAGTCAATTTTATTTACAGTATGTAAATAAATAGTTGTATACATTAAATCTTATTATACGCGTTACTACAATCACCGATTGCATGTATAGGTTATGTTACTACACTGCAGGTTATGTTATCACTATACGATATAAATTGTTACTATTCATATAGAGTACATGTATTTAAGATATCAAAGTATTATAACGGTACTTGTGCGATTATGTTTTGAAAACTATTTCGGATTTTTTTACAGAATAATGTAGCGTTTTATCGATTGGGCTGTGTTTTTAGTTACATTTAATTCTGCAAAGGTGGTAACACATGCAACTGGTTCGCAGTCGGCAGGTGATGCATTTCATAGTTTGCAATTCTTCTGCTAGAATGCCCCTGTATCATTATCTGCAATTATAATTTACCAGTTGTATAATATACTCTCCTGTTTTAACGCATTCAAAGTTATTTTTTTATAATTCCAAAGGAAAAGTTTGTTCATCTTTAAATTAACATATGCACTAATTCGATTTACAAATGTTCTTTTAATAATATTTTGCATTTATTCATATAAAAATATACTGCAACCGTACAAAACACTCGGACTTACTATTAACTAACAATATACGCGCATTACAAGAGTGCTTTATGTTTACGAAAAATCATTATACAGATATTTTATTTCAAATGTAAATGATTTTTTGTACACACGTAAAAACTAACAGGTAAATATCTTACAAATTAAATGCGAAAATATGAAAACACCAATATTTTGTCTACGTTCAGCGTCGCTAGATTAATTCTCAAAGATTTAAATATGAATTTAAAAAAAGATTCAACGCCAGACTGCGGAAACGCTTCCCTGTGCTAGAGATTGCGACGAGCCAGAAGAGGGGAGTTCAGAAATACGTGAGCTAAAGAGAGAGAAAGAGAAAGAACGAGGGGACGCGTGAGTAACCCGTCTCTTGCATGTTAGATTCGAAGCTCCGTGGCACGGGCAGTTGTGCAAAAGCACGGTGCAGAGGTATCCGGCCAAACACTGAAACCCCTCCTTCTTACTATCCCATCTTTCTCCCCTTCTAGTATATTCCGCTCGTCTGTCTTTCTTCTGCTTCTCCCTCCGTTACCCCTTCTTCCGCCGACGCTTCCTCTCTCGCTTCAGCACACTCGTACCGTCTGTTGACCTCTTGCTTCCTCCCTCGGTCTTTTCCTTTCTTTTTACAGACGAGCCGCCGGGAGCACGCTGCCCTCGCTCAACTACCTGTTGTGACGTCCAACGCGCACTCGACGACGCACTGGGACAATCCGGGGATTCACTGCGCCGCGTGCGCTGCTGCTCTCCGTGTATGCCGCGTACCTTCCTTCACGGTCGACATGACGGTCGTACGCCGTCTCTACGCGCAAGAAAGCCTTCCGTTGGTAAAGCGTGTGCCTGATCCGTGAGCCAAAGCCGATATTAAACCGCGAAAGGCTTGTCGCGCACTCCCACTATCGTCCCGATTCCCATCCCTCCCACAACGACGCGATAATAACGAGCGAGGAGGAAAGAGAGACAAAGAAAGGCAAATAGACAGAGCGCGAGCGAGAATGTAGAGAGAGGCTCTTATCGAGAAGTTTTAGTTAGACTTTAGCACCTAAAGAGGGCATTGGAAACACATTTGGGATCCTTTATCGGGGCAATATTGACTCTGAAGTCTGTTGATTAGTATCGATCGCACTACTGACTGAGTCGAAAGGTATTTTTTACATGAGAACATCGGCGTCTGGAACGTTCGTAACGGTAACGATTCTTATTTAAAATTCCTTTTGTCGCATACTTTGCTTCAGTAAATTAATAAGTTAATTAACAAACGAAACGTTAATTCAATCAACCAAGTGTCTAACGAAGAGATGAAACGATGTTTAAGAGTGTTTGTAAAGCAGATAGTACACAACATTTTGTTGTCTACGCTCGGTCAACGTGCTTAATAGAAATATGTATTTAGCTTTGGAAACTAAAACAATGGGATTGAAACGTTTACATTGGGTTAGCGAACTAAACTGTTATATTGAACATTCGAACGTACGAAGCCGAATAATTTTTTAAAGCTGAGAAATTAATAATTTCTGACAGTATACCTTACCGTAAAGCGCGTGCCAATGAAAAACGAAAAATATTGAAACGGAAGAACAGTGTTTTTAGAGTTCACCGATTGTAACGTGTTGTGTAACTATGTCGAAGATAATATATGGTAAGACGGGTTTCATACATGGCGCCAATTGCGGTTAGTGGTCGAAATCGCCGTCAGATGGCGCCGCAATTTGGCCGCCTCTTGTATACGCGGAGTTTCCAGGCCCTGAACTTAGTCGCGCGCGGTGAACGTTCCGTCCTACCGTCGAATCTTCGCGCGCGTCTCGTCGAGAGTGACAGTTCGAAAATCTCTTTACCCGGAAGACAAATGGTATCGCGCGACCCGTGGGCATTGTTGCGCTGTCAACGGGACGATGGAACGCGGACGGCGCGGAGTTAGTTAGTGCATCGCGTACACGTTACCGACTCCGTAAATATCGTAGCGATCTCGTGCGAAGCGCGTTCGCGTGGAGGCTGAACTGGCGGTGACTGGTCGCGTTGGAGCGACACGGACTTCACGGTATACCGTTCAGTCACGTGGCGTCGGGAATAAAACGCGACGAACAGTATCTATCGGCGATACGTCGCGATGTCAACAACCGGACAGTGAAAACAGCGACCAAACGTAACATTGCCGCGAGCCTGAGCGCGTTAAAAGGGTGACGAACTTTGTTTACAATTTTACGCGCGTCTCTGCGTTTTCGCGATTGATATCTATACCGAACGAAAGTCACCGAGATGAGGAAAGGGAGATAGAACTCCCGCGAACTGATTCCTTTTATCCGCATCGGCTGGATATCGTTGGCGATTGTGTTGTGTTGTGCGGGAAAGTACCGTGTACATTGAACGGACTGAATGAAAGTGAGGGTCTTGAAGTGATCGACGCCGTAGCAGCGACAGCCGATCGAGGGAACGGGTGTGCGCAACAGGACTGTAACGCGCGAACGACAACGACATATTCCAAATGCGTCTTGACCGGAAGTTGAGGATCGTCGCATTGGCAGGGTGGCAGAGGATGCTCGGCTCGAGGGCAGCGGCGGGAGACGAGGTCGCAGCAGTAGCAGTAGCGCGCGTCAGGCGCTTCGGTAGCAGAGGTTCTCACTGAGCTGGCTTACCCTGCGGTGGATTTAGGGGGCTGTATGGAGGCCGGGGGGCTCCTGCCCCGCCAGCCCCCGCAAGGCCCCCCCGGCACCGCGCCTGGCTCGATCTCGGTCTGCGTGGGCCAGGCTCCTAACACCAATAACAATAGCAACGTTATCGGCCAATCGGCCGGGATTCACGATCTAAACGCGACCGGCCAGTTGAACGTAACCGGTCAACAGCTGCAGCTGCAGCAACAAATGGGTCAAGCACCTGGTATGGGTGAGGTACTCACCCCCAAGAGGCAGGCGGTCGTCGATCGTCTCAGACGGAGGATCGAGAATTATCGGCGAAGACAAACCGATTGTATACCGAGATTCGATCAGAGTTTCAACGGGCTCTGCGAGCAGAACATACAAGACACGCTCGTGCTGAAACAACGTTTCCTCGAAAGCAAGGCGAAACGGCAAGCCAAGAAGACGGACAAGAAGCAAAGCGACCCGATCGGTCTCTCCAGCGTTCACGTGGTGAGTCATTTACTCTACTTGTGGCTCTGGCTTTCGTTCGCGGCTCCTGGCGTAGGTGCTGCCGCACGCCGGTCGTCAACCTTGTCGCAAAATGCTTCTTATCGCCCTCTCTATTGCGCTCTGCGTATTATTACGTGTAAGCGATATTCTGTTTACGGTAAGATCGATGGTATCTCGCGTATTGGTTTATATCGTGCTGTTGTGCTTCGTCATCGTGCTCGAACCAAGTATATCGATGTCCGTTGTAAATAAGTGACGAATAACGATCGCGATACCGTTACGAAATTTTGATACTTTTAAAGTATGACGGATAAGCCAAGTTTCGCGAAGGTCGCTAGAATTGAAAGCGATCCACGAACGATAGTGTTCCGGGTGGGAGGGGGGTCACGCGATTGAGAACATCTAAACTGTAGTATATGTATACCAAGTAAGCGGCACTCGGCAACTTGCCGGGTCAAGACTCTACTACACAGGTTTGGAATCGAAGCGCGGGCGTAATGAAATACCACGCTCTTTACACCTATCCAAGTTTCATTTACAAAGCAGCGGGACAACATTTATACACTTTGTATACGCAGAAAAGTACTACTTTGCTAGCAAAGACTATTAATATTTCTCCGGTTTCTATAAGAAGGCATTTTTATCCAAGAAAAGTATCTTTACCAAACGAAAGAAAACTCTGTTTGCATTAAAAATGTCCATCGTCCCCTCAAAGAGATTTCGTTAAGTATTCATGGAAAATACTGTTCCTTTTCCAAATTTTGAATAAATCGCAATTCTTCTCCAATACCATAAAATTACAATGGATTTGCTTCGAAGCAGAGAATAAATTCACGGTCATTTTTACGTTTTTATTTGAATAGTGCAAAAAGAAGCAATTGTGTATAATGCAATGGTATAATGATAGTTGTCCTGAAAAAAAACGTATTTCAGGATAAAGTTTATTCAGAAAATATGAAAATGCAGTCAGGAAACCTTGAGGAGAGGACAATAATCGGTTTCAGAAGAAACTATAAAAAGACCGGTTTTAAGAACTACAATTCATTCTTCAGGATCTAGATCACCGCTCTGCGATTCTACGGTCATTATTGACGTCTCTGTGTTTTTATGATATCCTTACGCAATTAACGTAATGCCAGTAATTATACAAAATTTCAATGATTTTTAGAATTGCAATTGTTTTTTTAATTATTTTTAAAGACGAAAACAAAGTAGAAAGAAAAGTATTTTTAATTTTACGCTACAATCTCAAGAGCTAACCGGTGCGTTACGAGCCCTTCTTAACTCGTTAACATAGGCCTTTAACGTCGATTAAATCTACACGTTTCTTTAACACTATCGATTATATCAAATAATTAGGTCAAGGACCTTTACTACTGTTCTCCTTATCCGTATAAAATATATAAATTTGGTTTCCTTCAACCGATGCGATTGATTCTGTTTAGCATTTCTATTTAAAAGTCCGAGAACACTTTTAAATATGGGCGGCTTTATAGTTCTGCTTCACGTGGGTTTCTGTCGGCAGTACAAATTGAGAAAAGTCGCTACAGAATTACCGTGACGCTCGTCGAGCTTTTCTTGCAAGTTCGTTTTTGTTCCACTACTTGCGCAGCTTTAATCTCCGCGTAGGAGTATCTGTACGGCACGCGACTAAAAAAGAAAGGGAAATTCACACCCCGTTGCGGCAAAGGTTGTCAGCGGGGCTCATGAAGGTCGGAATAAACGCATCGCGTATAAGTTCGTGACAATGACGTTACACCGTACCGTGGAACGCCCCTGCATTGACGTAAATCCAAGGTTAATACGGGACGTCTCGAATCGAACGCCTACAGGTAACCGACGTAGGTAGGAATCTACGACCAAACGACGCCCTCCTCCGCGTCGACATCGCGCATCCACCTGTTTCGCGTCGCTTTCAAAACGATACGGGGATTGATACACGACAGGAATAAAGATAGAACATTGGCTACTCCTCGCCTCGAACGATGAGAACAGGCTCGGTTTGAAACAACGTCGTTTGGAATATTGGACATTTGTCCTTAGTCACTCCGATTGGAAATAATCGAATAATAAAATTGGATTAATTGTTAACGTACACGCTCAAAGTTGTTGAAACATGAGAGTCTCAATGAATTTTTCTAGCAAAAAGTCTCGTCGTTGGCTTGCCAGAGGCCAGTACGAGAATATTATGATAAATACGGTATGTACGACACGATGGAATGTTGTTTGTTTACGTATTCTGTGGTATCGAAGAACATGTTAGGCTACAGTATAACAGGTATATAACAAGATGCTAGTAACTAAGAAATATGTGAAAGGTCGTGCAAGAACAGCTTGTGTCGAGGCAGGCGAAAATAACATCCATATCAAACAGATTGAAAGCACGTATCGTTGTTCGAGACCACCATTGTAAAGCAGTTGAGTTTATTGCTTTATTTGAGTATTCGGAACACTCGAACCATTCGAACAGATCGAAATTGCTCGGACAGTGTAATCGTTCGAACCATCGCTCCAATAGCCGAGCACTCGGTTGGATAAAGAGCTTTACTCGGCTTCAGTTTCAAGTGTTCGGTTTGCTTCGATACAATCTGTTCTACTCAACTCGAATCTCGAGCGTTTTGTACTAAAAATATCTTGTACAGGGTGTTCGGCCACCCCTGGGACAAATTTCAATGGGAGATTCTAGAGGCCAAAATAAGACGAAAATCAAGAATATCAATTTCTTGACTGAGGCTTCGTTAAAAAGTTATTAAAAAATTAAATCAAACAATTTCAAATCATTCTGAAAAAATTATTTTTGATTGCAGGGATCGATTACAATCATTTTTGGTCATTACACATACTCCCGAAATCCTACGCACTTTCGAGAAAAAAATTCGAGTAGGTGCAGAAATTTTTCGGTGAAAAAAAAAAATTTCAAATCGTTCTGGAAAAATTATTTTTCGGAATTAAAAGATGGTCGATTCGCTATTTCCTCGACGAGTTCCATAACCCCCGATAACTCTGCATATTATACGCGATTTGAAAATTAAAAATTTCTCCAAGTAGGTGTCGTGAGCGTGAAGATTAACATTAATACGGATAGAATTTTTATAAATATCAGCAATATTCTGCATGCAAGCTGTGTCTCAATATAGCGAAGAGGTTGTAAAAATAATGCATCGATGCGCTATTTGCAGAACCGATAAGCGATAAGTGTATCTGCCGCTTGTAGGAATACGCGCGAACGTAACGCCGCTCGTCGCCAATTACTCCTTTATCCGCGTGGAAAATTAATTTCTTACGACGCTCGTAACTAAATGGTCGCGATTTCCCTTTTTCTTGCGCGTTTGCGGTCACCGTAATCGAATGGATATGAAATTTACCGGCTTTGTTTGTTTTATCGGTAATCACAGGAATAAAAAAAAAAGCAATGGTTCGAGCACTCGTGGGTTCGATACACTTGTTTAACTTTTCATCAATTCGTTCTCATAAAATTTGTCTGATACCCGCGTCAAAGTTAACGTTAAAAAAGAAACGTGACCTTCACCCCTCTCAACTTTGACGGAAAAGTGACTTTTGCCATCCGACCACTGAAGTAATTTCCGCGTAGTATAGTCTACGTATGGAGCTCGTCCCCGAGGGTAATCTTGAAATACCGGAATGCATAAAAAATCTGAGGTTGGCACACGGAAATCGCCTACGTTTGCATGGACAGAATAGTGACCGCGTTCCCCGCGCCCGAGGGGCTGAATGATCTTCGCGTTGTACGAGGGTCCGTGGATCTCGGTATATCCACGAAGAGCGCGTGTCAAGGTTGCACGAGACCAGTTTAAAAAATCTCGCGAGCGCTGGAAGGCACGCATGCAAATGTCGCCCATATCTGGAACGGATAACTTTGGTCGTTGCGTGTGGCTTATTACGGGGCATATGCGATCATCCGTCCCGACGAATATAACGTCGAGGAAAAGGTGACGGTTAAAATCGTCGTTGCGAGAAACTTTTCTATCGTAACTGGATGATTGGTAGGATGGGACGAAACGAGAAACGCGACGACACGCGTGAAAGCTGAAGCACGGCCGAACGCGTTCACCTTAATTAAATTCCTGTTGTCGCGATAAACGAACTATTATTTATAGCGGGATAAATAAGGGAGTTGCCGGCGCAACGGCCGTGAATTTTTGCGAGTGTCGTGCTAAATTATTATGCGTGTACAATTATTTCGTTTTAGTTTTCTTGTTCCTCCGGGTCGTCGTTTTGTTCTTTGGTCGCCTCGCGGCTGTGGGCGACATATCTCGCGACGCAAATCAACGTACAATCGTACGAGGATCCAATTTTGAGTTATACTGTTTTCTTTGGTAATAGACGACCTACCGTCTACAGACACAACCATATTCGTTGTTACGACGAACCTTATGAAACGCGAAGCGATAAGGAACTTTGCGGTTCTGGTATCACTGTTGATATACAATCATAGTACAGTGAAAACTCGATAAATGTCCTCAAGAGCTGTTCCATAAATGATACATTTTTATCCCCACCACTAGGGAGATCCCCCTTGAACCAGTGAGGCGAAGTGTAACCGGAGACGTAGCGGCTTTCTTTAAAAATCTTTATTGCCTTCGTCATCTTAGTTTAAATGTCCCTGTCAGTGAGACCACACTACTGTACAAGAAGAAAGTTTTTTATTTTTTACTTTTTTTTAATAAAAATTTTACTATCATGTGGGGAAGATTTTTCTAATTAAAATGAGACTAAACACGATATAAATCGGCCAATATTTGTTACCATAATATTGAATTAAATATTGTGTACTCGTATCTTCGCAAGGTCAGTGGATTCGCAAGGTCATTTATCGAACAGTGGTAGCTAACGAAACCCCCTATTTCATAAGTGTTGCAGTTTTTAATCACTTACGAAACGGT